CTTGATTAAGGATTCAACCCCTTTCAATAAGAGGCCAAAAGGATCTGAGAAAGAGGAAATGTTTAATATTAATGTAAAAGATAAAAACAGAGAAAATTATATTTCATAAAATCAGATGTTCCTGACATGGACAGTGCCATCCTACTAAATATAAGAACATTTGTTCTTCTATTCTATGGAAACTACAATAACTTCAAAGCTGAAAGTTTCTTATGATGATATAAGAATATTAGAAGTTATTGAAAGCCTCTCATAATTCAGTTAACCCCTTCTATAGTCTCATCCATACATTCTATTTGCCTTTGTTGGAAGAAATATCCAGTCCGGTTGCAAGCTGGGAGAAAGGTGCTGGAAATAAAGTGGAGACTGACTGCAAGGAACGAAGGTTTATTTGGTTTCCAGAAACTTCTGTGACAGCAGCAATGTTTCTGGGATGGCTGACAAAATGGCTGAGTGAGTGGATGGATCTTTATAGGATTCTGGGATTTTGTGATTGAGATGCTCCAGGGAGTTGTGCAATGTAGTCAGCCTTGTGGCTTTTACTATTTCAATGATGGTGGGTTAATCCTATTATGTCCTAAAGGTTGTCCTGTCCTTAGAATGTGGATGGGGGAATGTAAATTCTTAATCCCATCAACTGTGGGAGCTGTGGTTGAAGGTGTTTTGCTTATGAATAGACTGGCCCAGTCTTTCTTAATAGATACAAAATCTGCATTCCTAAATTCTTCACATTTCTTTGTTTGAAGCTGTTTTCCTATGGCAGGAAGACTGGGGCTGCTTTATGCCTTTGTTAAGATTTTTCTCCATTTCTCCTTTGGGGAAATATTCTACCCTGCGTCTTTTTAACATGAAGAATAAGGAATATTTTATTCTGGGGTGGGGGACGGGCTTCCTACCCTTTGGCACAAGAAGACCCATTTACAGATACTGGAAGATATAAACAAATTTCTTCATCCTCAGTCTGTCTCAGTCCCATCCCAAAGAATCTATCTCCTGTATTTCATGTGGCCATAGGCCATGCTCCTGTTCTACATTTTGTCCTGGTTTACTGGACTGATGAAACATAAAACTATTTGTTTGTTAACCAATCCACCCGTGAAATTGTATTCATTGGAATTTTCTTTAGTTTTGTTCTGTGCTACTTGTACAGATGTTTCGTTTTGTTTTTAAATCAGTGCTATGGAAACGATCTCAGCATCAATGCCAGTACTTGAAATGTGAACAGATATTTCTTAAGCCAGAATCATTCCTTGCCAGTATTCATTAGTCTGGGTAGCAAACAGTTTAAGCTGGTTTTGCAGAACTGCTTTAAATCAACCAGAAGTTATTTGGGAGTTATTTGTTTGTTTGATCTACTTTTACTTGATTTGCATCTCTGGCATAGAATTCCTAATATGGACGCTTGGGCCTTCCTGTATAAATGAGTTTCCAATAGATCTGCCACCTTTTTTAATTAATTCATCACAAATTGGGTAGCACTAGCTGTCAGAATGATGCATGTTACAGCTCAACAGAGAATTGGTTGTTCCTCTACTTTTTGGATGGGAATGCAGGTCCTATTATAGTACCCGGAAAACTTTTTAGCAAGCATGGTAGGTTGGAAGAAAAAATGCATGAAAACAGTTGTATCCATAAGAACAGAATCTTCCCTGCAATCATATGTCAGTGGTGCATCCTGACAAGATTTCTTGTGGACATACCTAGAGTCATTTTGTTCCAGGATTCATCTACTGTTTCAAAAAATTGCTAGCCCGGAATTCAACTCAGATGTAAAGTTTTGATCTCATAAAACAGAACTACATTTTTATATGAAAATTATTTGCAAATAAATCTGTTGATCTGTATGTTGCTCATCCCAGGCCTGTAATTTCTGTAATCTGCATGCATGCATTTGGATTGTGGCAATTAAGGGAGAGACACTATCTGGCCTGGCTCTTTAAGAAGGAGGAGCTACCTTCACCATTCAACTCAGATGACAGAAAACATTTGTAAGAACACTGTTCTCATGAGATTATTATTATGACTGGTCCCACCAGTTCTTGCTTGCAGGTGAATGGTATTTCTTGCCAATATTCTAATGTACCATTAGTTGCTATTTTGTCATGTCATTGTTTATAGTCAGTCTGTATGATCGTCTTGCAGCAGCAAACTACTGTAGATGGTCCACTGTTTCTTCAGCTTCTTTGCAGAGCCGATTTGCTGTCTGTTGCTGTCTTTTCAGTTGTGTCTTTGTATGCATTTGTTCTTAAGGCTTGGTCTTGTGCAAGAGGTTCTCTGTGTCTTTCTTCAATTAAGGTTCTCTGTGTCTTTCTTCAATTTTCTTGCAAAGCGTGTGCTCCAGTGGTGGGATTCAAAAAATTTTTTACTACCGGTTCCGTGGGTGTGGCTTGGTGGGCGTGGCCATGTGACTGGGTGGGGGCGGCAAAAAAGCAAAAAAAAAACGCCACCCCCCCAGTCACATGGCGTTTTTGCTCCCCTAAGGCTCCTCTGGGGCTCTGGAAGGCAAAAAATGGAGGGGGGGACTGAGCTCCTCCCTCCATTTTTTGCCTTCCTGGGCCTCAGCAAGGGGAATCCGGCACAGCTGATTGTCAGGAGGGAAAAAAAATATCTTAGGCGAATGGAGCATCGGGCGGAAGGGAGACCGGATGGGGCGTGGCCAGCCAGAACTTATTACTGGTTCAGCAACCCACGCCAAATTCTTGCTACCGGTTCACCCGATCCGGTGCGAACCGTTTGAATACCACCACTGGTGTGCTCACCAAACCGGTTGTTAAGCTGGTAGGATCTCACCCCTGTCCTCAGCCCTAGCCCATGCTAAGAGGAGTGATCGGTAAGTATTTTCCTGATTATTTTTTGAAGAGAAAGGGATATAGCCAGGAAAAGCCATCAATTCTTTTCCTTAACATGCCCTGCATATGGGAAATAAGGCTACTGCTATTAGAGATACTTGGTTGAGTTGAACGGCTATAGAAATTGACCTCACCCCTTTCCTAAGAGGTCTGTAGGGGGCGTGCATAAGCGCACCAACGTGCCTACCGTCCCTGTCCTATTGTTTCTCTTATTCTTCTTTTATTTTTCTTATATGTACCCATTTCATGTATTCACAACTATGTATACACTTATACTTATTATCTTGTAAACAATTGGCAAATCAAATAAATAAATAAATAAAATAAATAAAAAAAAATAAATTGAATAAATAAATTAGATGACATTGAGTCTGTAGCAAAGAGAAAAACATATTATAACACCAGTACAGTTTTCTAGAGGTTCAAAATTTGGTGAATAGCATTTTCAGTAGAAGAACATATCTGTAGCTCAGGGTTGAAATCTGGAGTTCTTGCTGCTCTTTGAACATGGTTGTTTGCTTGCAGATGATTCACTACCCAACTATGTAACACTACCCAACTATATAACATCAATGATACCCAACTAGATAACATCACTGACTTTTACTGATGATGTTATCCAACTGGGTAAATGAAACATCTACAAATAGACAACCAAGGTCAGAGAGCACCAAGAAATCCACAGAATAGGATTTTAAATGAGAAGAAGGATGATCTTAGGGTAACAGTCCAGAGCTTTGGTGCTTAATTACAACTAACTATCTTATTATTTTGATCACAGTGAATGGACATACATTTTTAAAATGTATCTTAGCTTGAATTTTAATATTTTCGTAATGCAAACAGAGCCTTAGGTATGTGATCCAAATAATAAGGCCTGAATCAGATATCATACATCAAAGAACTTCTTTCATTATACGAACACTGAAAACCATGGGTGGCTTCAGGTTGTTAGTATAACTAGGATCTTGGGGCATTATTATAACAGAAGATCAGTATCAAACAACCCATCTTATCCTATTGAGAAATGTCATCATGGTTTTGGAAAAACGCTGATCACGAAGAACAGGATAAATTAAACTGGATGAGCAGAAACATGTCCCGTACAACTCTATATGAAATATAAGACCGTATAGAACACGGTCTAGAATAGAACATGAGAGCATTCCAAATGAATATTGGCTAGCCATTCTTGGGTTGACTAAACATGCCTATACTACCAAGATATGTGGTTCTGTTCAATTTATTAGTATCTTTCCTTCCAGATGCAAAGAAAAATAGTTTGACCAAGATATGCTAAGCATTTTTTTTTCCTCAAGCGTTCTATAGTTCCCAGGATGTCTGCGGAATAAAGTCCCCTTCAAAAGTCTTCAAATCCTAAGCACCTGCCCTATAAAAGCCCAGATACTGTAACCCAGGGGTCCCCAACCACCGGTCCGCGGACCGGTACCGGTCCGTGGAACAAGTCCTACCGGGCCGCTGGCTTGCTGGGCGCCGCCATCTTGTTTTGATGAAAAAGTGCTTCCGGTGAGCTTTTCTGGGTAGAAAGCTCACCGGAAGCACTTTTTCATCAAAACAAGATGGCGGTGCCCAGCTGATGTTGGTACCGGGCTGCGCCATAAAAAAGGTTGGGGATACCGGGCCGCGGCGTAAAAAAGGTTGGGGATCACTGCTGTAACCCTTTTGGTCATAGGATACTGGCTTCCTAAATGCATGTCTGCATAACAATAACTATGTCGGCTTCTGCAATGGAAAGGATTGTGGTAAATAAGGCACAAGGAGACCAACATGAAGAAATAAATAAAAGCTTTTCACTGCAAGGTCACTCAGTCCAGAGATATATGACTGCAGTCCCATATTCTTATCAAAAATAAATGGGCACATGGCAGGATTGGGATGCGCTGACTTTTTTTCTATATTCTGGTGAAACTCTAAGAAAAGATGAAAAAGCAAAACAAATATTAACTGTTCAGAAGGAAATCCGAGCAATCCTAGCCTTGCTTTGCTTTAAATACATTCTTACAGGTAGTCCTTGTTTAGTGACTGCAACTTGATCTGGCAACTTGGTCTTTAAGTGAAGCAGTTGCTAAGTGACAAATTATGTGACCACAACTGTGCTTACAATTTTACTTCAGTTTTGCTTTGCTTCAGAAGGCTGAACCCCAAACAGCCAGATGAGGCCATACAGTAAGAAGATTGTGGAACTCCACTCACAAGGAAATGGAGTAAAAGGGCAGATTGTATAGCTCCTTTTATTCCATCTCCTGTTCTTTGGAATGGTCACCCAGAGACTGGCATAACAAGAAGAAGAGAAATACTGTTTGCATTTTTATCCACTGTTTCCATTTTTTCCATTTTTATCCATTACAAGAGACTGTTTCCATTTTTTCCATTTGTATCCAGTACAAGAGAGTAAGCAAGCACACAATGAGCAACTCACATGCAAAGGAATGTGCTCCAGCTGCCTGTTTGTCTAGACAACCTCTTAGGAGACAAACAAAAGACTTTAACGTGAAACTGATTCAGGTTTTGTCCATTTCAAGAAGCAGCTGCAGGCTGACTACATTCAGGTCACAAAGTTGAGCCTGTTAATTTGTGGTTAGCACTATTTTTAGGGACAATATGGGCTGGTCAGAAAACCAGCCCAGGATGAGATAGAGAAGACAGAAAAGAGTCAGGCACAGGACAACATATACTATTAGCTGTAATGGTGAGCATCTATTTGAGAGATGCTACAAAGGTTATAAATGCAGATATTGGTCACAAAGTTACTTTTCATCAATTTTGTCATTGCAAACAGTCGTTGTCCTGAGAAGTCATAAAACAAGGACTACCTGTGCATGAATATAGGCAGTTTGAATTGCTTCCATTGCATTTCAAATTCCCAGAGGTTGTGGGAGGAGCTGCTGGCTGCTTGTGAAGGAAGCAGAGGGTGAGTAGAAAGGAGAAATATAGCGGCCCACGCACCTAACGGCGTGCAAATCATATAACTATAAACCAAGAATACCAATAAGACATTTAGGGTAAGTGCGCTTGAGATTGTGATTTTATTTTATTTCAAAATGATTGGCTTAGTTCAGTGTAATACTTGTTTTACAGCTGTCTTTCGTAGTACTCTTTTCAAACTTGGATACTGTCCTCTTTGTAAAAAAATTACCAGTCTACATGGACAGATTACCTATCTAGAATCTCTAATCTGTGCTCTCCAAGCAGAAACAGCCCTAACTTTGAATTCTACACTTAGCTCACCAATTTTGCAAAGTTCCATTAGTTGCCAACACTGCATCAGCTGTTTGTTCACCATCAAGCAAAGCAGTTTTAAAAAACTAAGAGCAGTATTTTTAGAGGAACATTTTTTGCTAAAGTACCTGCTCTGCTATAATTGAATATCCGTGCCAAATGTCATAACATCTTATTATATTTAGCCTCTCCCTTTCATCATAGAAACTAAGCAAGTAAGTCTAATATGTAATTTATATGGGGTTATTCACTTTAATCAGCCTACTGGCCTGGAATGATAGATTACATACTGTATATACAAGCATATACAGAATGAAAGAAAGTTTCATGATAGCAGTGTTCCAATATTTGAGGGGCTGCCACAAAGAAGAGGACTCAAGCTATTCTCCAAAGCAGTGATCCCCAACCATTTTTATGCCGCGGCCCGGTACCGGCATCAGCTGGGCGCCGCCATCTTTTTTTGATGAAAAAGTGCTTCCGGTGACCTCACTGGAAGCACTTTTTCATCAAAAAAAGATGGCGGTGCCAGCGCTTCCGGTGAGCTTTTCCAAGTAGAAATGGCTTTCTACCCGGAAAAGCTCACCGGAAGCGCTGGCGCCGCCATCTTTTTTTGATGAAAAAGTGCTTCCGGTGAGCTTTCTACCCGGAAAAGCTCACCGGAAGCACTTTTTCATCAAAAAAAGATGGCAGCGCCCAGCAAACCAGCGGCCCGGTAGGACTTGTTCCACGGACCGGTACCGGTCCGCGGACCGGTGGTTGGGGACCCCTGCTCCAAAGCACCTGAGAGAAGGACAAGAAGCAATGGGTGGAAACCAATCAAGGAGAGAAGCAACCTAGAAGTAAGGAGAAATGAATAAATGGATGGATGGATGGATGGATGGATGGATGGATGGATGGATGGATGGATGGATGGATGGATGGATG